GGCTCCATGCAGTGTAGGCACAATAACACAGCACTTTTTATAAGAGGGCAATGTTGCCCAAATAATTGCATCACAAAAATGCTGTTATATCAGTTAATTTGTGTATTGGTACCTTATATTTCTCAAAGCAAATGTAGTAAGGTTGGAGTTACAGTAATATTCAAAGATCCAATATGGAAATCAAGTACACTTATTGACTTATTGATTGAGTTAATTACATCATTAACTGTAAATACACTAGATTCAATTTTGTTTGGTATTTTTCACCTTACTGTACATCAGAGGGAATATGCTCATCAAAATATACCCACATATTTTAACTTAAAACAACCATATTGCTGTGTGGGGTTTCCTTGTTTGCAAAAGCTGAGAAATTGGATATCTGGAGACAGTATTTAACATGTACTGTCCTGAGCATCTCAATACTTTGTTTACTCTGTCACTTCTTTAACCTGCCCCCTGTTCTACATTTTATAGCAATTTTGACTCTCAGTTCATCTTAAATGCCTCATTTGTTTATGTATTTGTTTATAACACCATGTGCATGCCATTCCTGTAAATTCATACACTGCAAATGAGACACCCTTGTTCAATTGAATGTTTTGTTCTCACTGCTCCCTAATTCTCTTAAAAAATCCCAGCAATTGTAGATGTGAGTTTAAAGCAGATGGGAGCTGTTTGCCTGATTTTCAGTTGGCATTTAATGCAAAGTCAAAAGATGATGGTGCTGACTTAAGAAAAAAAAGCATTGCTGCCTTTTTTTACATCAAACCTTCCTAGCACTAATTATCTGAAATAAAATACAAAAATGAACTAACCTACTGAGACTTTCAGAAGGCCACGTTTCAATCAACATAGGCCATTATCCAAGTTTTAAAAGCAAAACTTTTGCTTATATTCAGTATTTGTACTGAACAAATGTAATTCAGGGAGAGCAATCAACACCTGTTCCAGAGTCCTTAAAGCTTTGAACACACACTGGATAAAACAAAGCCTTAATTTGTTACCAGTGATGGAATCATTTTGCATGATTGCAAACATGCAGGCAAAAATGTATCTTTTGTACAAATTCAATTTCTAACAATTGAAGACTACTGTAAAATTCCTGATAACCACTTCTTTAAGGTATTTGATTGCTGTCTCCCAATGAAAATGCTTTAACCAGCAACCCACAAATGCTGAATACTGCCCTGTGGTGTTAGGTGCCTGAAATGTCCACACATATTTTAGAATCGTATCCTTACTTGGGTGTTTACAAGGCAGTAACATTTTAGTTTAGATAAATATTTGTGTCCTTGTACGATTTGAAAGCCTCTCAGCAGAGCAGCTAAGGCAGGAATAATGACAAGGAAAATTAATATTTGTGCATGCCTAGAATTATATGATTTGAGTAATAGCTTGCAGAATAAGAGACTTTTTGGAAGCGTGCCTTGAGGACAGATGAGATATAACTCAGCTTTCAGTTGCTCTGTGGGAAGGTCTGGATTCATTGGTGCATGACAGAGGTCATGAATCATTGCAGTGAAAATATGAAGTTATATGGTTGTTGTACAACTATTACTGAGATGGAAAAAACACTTTATTGAGATGTTTATGGATCCATAATGGGACCGAGTATTACATTTTAAAAGTGTAAAAATTCCTCTTGAATCATCCATTATATCCAGTGCCTCCAAGCATTCCTCCGAAGTGGTAACAGTACATTGGAATAAAACATCCATTTATTGACTTAGTGACTCATCTAATATCAGCAATACTCTGCTCTAATTTCCTGAAATGATTGCCCATCGAAGTCTGCACTGCTACAGTTAAAGGGAAAAAAAACTTTAATAAGCATGCTGCTGAGGGGATCACTCTCAGACTATGAGGAGCTGTAAAGGTGCTAATTAGTTTTACAATGGGCAGCATCTGCTTCATATCTTTTCAAGTTATTCTCCAGTTGTGGCAGTTACTGTCTGCTGCTTCACAATTGAATTCGGAACAGTGCGTATCCATTATGACAACAGGAACATACTGTAGATGGGATGCTCATTAGTAATGCTTTATCCCCATTAAAACAAAGTGGGTTTGCGGCACCACAGTTTGTGACAGAAACTCAAGGACGGATCCTGTTTATCACATTTTAAACAGCATGGTCAATACAAGCCTTGCTGGATGGCAGTGAAGATATTATAGCGCATATCCCCTTGTTTGATGAAAGGAATAAAACAAAAGAGCCCAGCGCCCAGCCATATTTACTGTATCTTAAAGAGACAATCTGGACGAATTAACCGTACGTTTGTAAACGATAAGAATAATTGACCACCCTGAGTTCAGAGACAATATGAAAGAGAAAAAATAAAGTACAATCGCTCTGTCTTTAAACTGATTGTGAATAGCAGTGGAAAGTCAAGCAACATAAGATGGAAGGTCAGGTTAATGAAGAGAACAGCACCTTTTAAACCAAAATATGCAAAGAGATGAGCCAGTAATGGTAGAAAAGGACACTCCATTGAAGCAGGCAGCAATGGACAACACCAAAGGTTACGAATGCAAAGAGGCAAGCACGTATTTGCTTTGTTGTTCCGATTGTTTGGTTGCTAAGCCCTTAATAATCGAAGAATTCCATCTATTCGTTTCTTAACGCATCCTGTGGAGTTAACTCTAACGACATGACTGAGGTGGCGGTTCTGGGACTCCCAAGCCCTCTGTGTAGGGACAGATGGACAGACTGGTCCCCAGGTGAATTGACCAATGCCTTTTTAAGATTTTAAACACCTGAAAGAATGCGAAAGTTTGGAAAAGGCTACCTAGCCATGCTGTTGAAGGTGTTAACCCTGTTTTTGTTTTTTCAAGAAAGGGCTAAATGAGATCCTTGGATGGATTAACCACTAGCAGCTAGCACTGGCCACAATTAACGTCTGATTTCTGAGACCGATACTGTCGGCCATTGTCATCCTGAAAACTACTTGTATTATTCGTGTTAGCTGCAAAGATCCTTGTTGTTTTCCCAACCTTTTGTTGTATTGGATAAGTGGAAATTTGCTATGTGATTCCATTTTATACAGTAGACAGCAGTAATGGTAAAAAATAACTATGCAGAATACTTTGTGTGTGCTGTAAAAATAAAAAAGTGCACAGTGTTAATATCACTTTTTATTAATAGTATTAGATTTACTTGTATAATATGGCATGCATATGCTAGTATATAACAGCAGTATTTTCCTTCTGCAGTTAAATAAAATTATAAATTAAAAACAGGGTGCTATAAAATATGTTACATACCTAACCCCCCAACCCTGTATTGGATAAAGTGGTTGGAAAATGGATGGATTGATAGAGTGAAATACAGTTTTACCTTGTTTGGTCTGAAGCACTCACTGAAATATTTAAAGGTCCACATCTTAATTTTGCTTTGTTGTATAGTCCCTCTGTGAAAGGAAACCGCTCTGAGAGGCATTAAAAAACTAGTACTATATCTACTGGAAAGAATTCAATTACTGTGTGTGTTGTATTATTTGACCCTAGAGACCTAAATTGCAAATTAGGTAACGCGTAAGACCAAAATGCTGATCTCATCACAGGCCCTAGTGGGTGTGCATCCACAAAGTAATGAAAAATGAAACAATCTTCTCTGCACAATTTTCGGGATCTTCGAGAAAACAACTGGTCTCTCTTATCAATCTCTGTCTTGTGAAAACTAAAAGTAACCTACAGTTACAGGCAGTTTTAAAAGGAATGAATGGGGCTAAAACCTGATATTTCAAAACGTTTTTTTAAACGTTATTGAACGTGAACTACTGGAATGTATTACGTTTGTCTTTAAACAAAAACTGGTGCCCATGCACTTTCCTGATTACAACAAAACAGATCATTCTTTCATTCCCTGCCTCTAACTGTTTTTGTTTGATATTAAATTAAAAAAAATTGAAGAATTAAATATTTCCTGAAAGACACCAAATTGGATTTCAATGAATATATATTTCCACTCCGTTCTGGTCCCTTCTATAAAACCATACCCATATGCAGCTATTCTGAATTTATCTAATACAGTAATTCTGCATTTATCAATCCATAGCCATGGAATCCATAGCCATTCTGGAATAGCTTTGATTCTCAAGCATTTCATTTCAATTTCATTCTCAAACGGCATTTCATTTTATTTGCCGTTTTTATTTCTGCAAATAAATATCCTTTATTTCATTCTGTTGATGTATGATTTTGCACATCTGATGTTGCGTTGCACATTACCTGTTACCTGTTGTTGTTTTGCACACTGCCTGTTGTCTCTATCTTTCTTTTCTTTTATAATTGTATTGTTTTTTTTTTGTACCGCTTACTGCCTAAGAGCTAGCTAAATAGCATTTCGTTATACCATATACCTGTGTATGAGTATAATGACAATAAACTTGAACTTGAAACTCGAAATTGAAATAGTCATGCATTCGATAATACGGCTGCATTTTAAACGGCATTATTTTAATGGGTTGAAGGGGACGTGCAATTAATAAAGGCGCTGTGTGCATGCACAGCCGAATAGAGATTCACAGCACGGTTTTTTCTAAGGGGGATGCCAGGTTTTTTTTTCTGTTCGCTGCCTTGTCCGGATGTCCCTAATGACAGCTGCAGCACCGCCCCACAGTGGACACGCCGGAGTGCTGCACGTTTTCACGGGCTGCCCGAGCAGACCCTGCCGAAAAGCCCCGCATAGCACAAGAAGGAGGTTTAAAAACGTAAATGAAAGTTGTTGTCTTTTTTCTTATAAGATCACCCCACCTTTTCCCTGGGCAATTGCACCCTGCGACTTGCAGGTTTCCCTAAACGAGTCTAAACGGTCATTCTCTTCTTCAATATCAGTCCATGCCTCAATGCGTGCTTTGCACTGGGGGAACGTCCCATTTAATACCCTCATTGAAATGCACATGTCCGTCTATTTTTATTATATATATATTGCTTTACGTTATTGTTACGGGCGCTATTGGTTTCTGGGACTTGTAGTGCTTTCTCTGGTGCAGCTCACTTTGAATCACTTCCTGACTAAGCCCTGCCAAAGCGGGAAAGTACTTCAGAAGTTACTTTTCCAAGTCCTGCAAGACAAGAGGCTATTTTAAGAGGTTGGAGGTGCGTTTATTTCGGCCAGAAAATTGAGTTATGGAGCAAGACCGCTGCAACGCAGCTCCCGTGCAGAATGGGTAATGTTTGATTTCGGTTTATCGTGAGCTGATTTGAGACGTGAAAAAGCGTTTGTTTTCCTGTTTTGTGACATTTTAAAACGCTCGCCTTTTATACCCAGCGAACGCTGTTTTTTTTTTAAACAAAACTGCCTGTCGCGATGTTCATTTTTAAAGCGTTTTTTCTTTAAAAAAAAAAAACATTAAAAGGTTTTTGAATGTATTTGCATTTAGAAATCCTTCAGATCTGCCCGTTGTTGGATCAGCGCTCAGCACAAAGCGATGTGTAAATCTACAATCGCAAAAACGCAGGTATCCTCGACTGCTGAGATGAAACGAAAGGAAGTTTATATAGCGAGCAGGACTAGGGGATTGTTAAATAACTAATCCCTGTTGCAGATGCGTGAAGAAACCGGTCATGGTCACTAGGAATATTGGCTGGAGGATCAAACCAACATTTTATTTGTTCGTTCATTAATTATTTTAATTAATTTTTATCCCCCGTTGTATGCAGAACGACACCTAAGGGTTCTCCGTAGTAAACCCTATCCTTCTGTATCTACAAGCGGACGGGGTTGTCAATGTCCGGACCTGAATGGAATTAAATAGGGAAATAATTTAGTTTCAGAAATTCAGTTCTTCACAATGACAACGTGCTCTGAGATTTCCAAAAGTACCTAATGCAGTAGCTGACTGGGTGGGATTTTATACGTCTTTTAAGTGAATTCTACATCTTAGTTGTGCTAGGGATATTTTTTGCTTCAAGATTTAAAGTCAAAATACTGCTTCGACCTCTGCGCATCGACGCTGCAGGTTAAGTGTGCTTGGACTGTGATTCTTAAGGAATCTGTGCTTACTGGAAATTATTGAAGTGTGGGGGGAAAAGGTTTGTTGCCTTCAGCGCAATTTCTGCATGGACTGCTTAGAATTTAAGGTCAATAAGAAAAGAAATACTTAGCACCTTGAAAGACTATCAGTCCGCAGAGGAGTGAAAAGCCTACAGTCAAACAGGGGCTGTCTAGTTTCATGCTCTGCAAACAGGTTGTAAGGGGAAAAAGGCAACATAATCTGTCCACTTATCGCGGACAGGACGGCCCTTTTCTGGATGGGGACGGTTCAGAGATGGCAGTCTACCTAATCAGCATATTCTTGGGAGGTGAGAGGGAAGCAAGACCACCTGGTTTAATGCCAACTGAACTCCACAAAGAAAGTCCAAAATCAGATTCAGCGCCAGGATTCTGGAGCTGTGAGGTAGCAGTATTAACCAGCATGCCAGTGTCTGCATTGCGTTGGAAATTTGTTTGATTTGTATTTCAAAACAAATTAACGAAAATAATTGAGGTGGTAGGCTTGATTAATTAGCATTGCTTTTAAATTGGGGGAGCAAATAGATTTATTTACAACCCGGGCAGACGTAATGAGAAAGCGAAATAATGAGCTTGAGGATTTTTCGTATTAAAAACGAGTGAACAGCAGTGTCCAAAAAGTGAGCGCTGAGTTTGTTTGCAGGTTCTTTGTTTTTGTAACTGAGAGGGGCTTTGCTCAGGACCCTCCAGGAGGGAGTTAATTGTTTTGTGTGAGACCGTCCCCTGTGAGAGCTGTTCCATCAGCTTGTTTCTCTGCTATGCTGCCCCTGCTTGTGTAGCAGAGCAGGTCAGAGGTTAATCGGGGAAGTAATGCAGAAGGAGATGCTGCAGTTCCAAGAGGACATGAGGAAGCCTCTATAAGACTAGGAGCATGCTAGCCAAATACTTGATGTTACGCAGCATACCTGCCTGGTGTGCCTGTGAAGGACTTGTACTCATACCAGTCATACTTGGCCAGTGGCCATTGGTGGTTTCTGCCTGTCAGCTGCCCAGTACTGCTTTTCACCCCCTTGAAGAGATTTCATTAGGTGGTGCTGTGGTGCTGGGGCAGCTATCAGTTTGAGCCACTTGGTAAACTGATTTTCCTCTCTAGAGCCTTGCCTGTGTTCTCTGTCAAGACCATAACCTGGACTGGGTGACTGGCAATTTTAAGTGACTGACACACACACACACGACTGCATGTCTTTGAACTGTGGGGGAAAACCAACCCTGGACTCCACTTCAGATGGAATCGAACACAGGTGCTGAGCGAACCACAAAACCACCATACTGTCTAACAAAATAAATTACTTGACCAAGTATAAGCCTGACTTTTAAATGTACTGGCCTATCTCTCTGTAACCACTGTATGGGCCATCCCATACCAAAACATGAAGCATTATAAAGTAGAAAGATAACAGTTTTGTGAAAGGTACTAGGCTTAGATTGCTCCCAAATAAAAAGTGCCCAGCTGTTTGAATGGTTGCATATATGATTCACTCTGGATAAAAGTGACAGCAAAATTAATTAGCAATAATAACAGAGCATTCAGGCTCCCGTTGAGTGCAGTTGTGGTTTTGGGATATAAAATGGTCTGTAGTCTGTGCCAGGTACACAAGAGTGAGGCTGTGCAAGCCCTGTCATGCTAACCTTTTAAAATGTGTGCAGTATTTCAGTTATATAAAACAGAAGATGTATGCAGGGAGCATACAGGGAAAGAGAGCTGTAGCTGGATGATTCACAGTCGTCAGATGATTGTGAAAGAAGGGAAGGCGGGACACTGTGTACTCACTAGCCAGTCACTGAGAATGTCAGAAGTTGCATGATCATTCTGCCAAT